CCCCTTACCCTTTTTACATAGATACTTAGTGCTTTCTGTGTTCAGGGCAGATTCAGACTGACTGCTGAAGTACTGAGATTTCAGTTGAAACTGCAGCAGTGAGTCTCCATTATTTCAGACAGGCTATGCAAAACAATGAAGAACATGCCATTAGTACTACCAGTGAAAAAAACTAGTCTGAGGTCACATAATATCCCATGGAAACTATACAGAAATAAGGACTGGCTTTATACAGGAGAAGGCTGCTTTAAGCAGAATTTCTCTGTTCTCTTCCTGAGATCCCTTGCCTCATAATGTCTTCCTCTTATGCAACACAGAAAGCAGGAATCCTGTGGTCAGGTTACCCTCAGTAGGTAAACTTGACTCCTTCTTCCTGTTCTCTTCAACCTCTCAGTCCTGACTTTCCTCCTCTACATGAATTTCATTTCATCACCCCGATTCCCCAGTTCTTCTTCCTCCTGCAGTTTTGCCAGGTTGCTTTGTTTCCTATGCTGTTCCTATGTTATATTCCTATTCCTGAGTAGTGGAAAGGGATATAAGGGAGATAGGTATCTCAGGGAAATAGTAGTGGAAGGTTTTGAGTCAGTCTTTCTTGTTTGGTTTTCTCATCATGCTTTATCTGCATGCTTTCCAGAAGTGCAGTTGCAGAGAAAGGTCAGTTCAGCCCTTCAGCTCCTTAGGAAGCAGAATAATTGCTTCTGAGGACACCCAGGATCTGATTAGCAGTAGGAATTGTTTGGAGGTGGAATATGCATAGGGCAGATGGGATCTTTGGTGAATTAAGCTGTCAGTGCTTAACAGCTTTCTGCTGAAAATGTGCAAATTAGAATCGGGCAAAAGTCACAACTTGTCTAACTGGGTTGAATTTTGATAGGGGCAACAAACAGTGTATTTTTTGTTAGAGGAACATGGTTTTACCAAATTCTATGTCCTTTCCTCAAAATATATAGATCCTGGATCATCCTAGTGAAACAGTTGTGTAGAAACTTTTTGGTTTGTTTTTAAACTAAGCAAAATAGATGTTCCCTTTGAAATATAGGAAAATTATCTGAGGAACGATGGAATGATTTCCATTTAAACTTCCTTTATTTTTCCCCCTTCATCTTTGCAAAGGGGAGGAAGAGGAAGAAGAAACTGACTTGTCAGACACTTGGTTTATGTGAATAATTAAAGTTTGGCAATATTAGATACAGCCTTAAACTGTCTTACGATTAGAAAACATAACGAGAGGCATCCAATTTTTATATAGCACTATTTTAATTTATTCTCTGCATGGATGCCATGCTGGATTTAAGAAACTAGTAGTTTTCACTTATACTTACTTACTGTACTGCCTAAACAAAACAGTAACACACATTTTATATTTTTAGAACTATTATATTGAATTAGGATTGTGAAGCACACTGTATTCACAGCTAAACTTTACCATTATGCTCCCTGCTGGAAAGCATGAGGGAATCTTCCAATATTGCACCTTGCTGCTTATGTATAAAGGAATACCTCAGTGTGTGTATGTGTACATATATGTGGACACATTACTTTTACATAGAATAAACAATATTTTTCCTTATGCTTGCAAATATCTTATTTTGACATTATTGATTAGTGAGAAGTTATAGGGAATCTTACAGGTACATAAAGTGTATATAGAAAGATAAGATACATAACTGATGTGATTTTTGTTTTTGAAATTTGTAATTGCATACTCATTTAAAAAATGCTGTTGTCTCTTTCAGATGTAATTATTATATTTTGCTTACAGCTCAAAACAGTCTGAATGTTCTTCTGATGCCTTTATTTGTTGCAGGAAACATGAAAGAAAACTGAAGCATGATGAAATACGTAAGAAGTATGGTATGTGGTAATCTTGTTTTGATATTCAGTATCTAAATTGACTCTGTCTTCCTAATTATTAAAATTCACAGCAGAAACAAGCTGCTTTATGAGCAGCAGAAGTAATCAAGCCCAGTTTCCTACTGATGCATGTTTTATGTCACCTGAACACCTGATCTCATCACTATTATGCTCCTGTTCTCTTCCTGCACTCCTGCACTATTATGCTCCTGTTCTCTCCCACTGGGCAAGAGACAATGTGCTGGATGGGGTGTTTGCTTGGGGTGGACATTTAAATATATTGATAAAAATAAGTAGTTCTTTCTGTCTCTTCCTAAGTAAGAGTACTGATTTGGGAGGGGGAGTTGGTTTGTTCTTGAACTTGATAAACCAATGTAGTTGAAACTGGCTAGTAGACTCATGGTTATTGAAGGAGGATAGACTGACTGACTAGCAGATAGCAAGCTTTTTAAATCAAGCTTAAAGAAGGATGGAGGATGCAGCCTAACATAGGGATTAAAATTGTTTTTTCTTTGTTTTTAAGTGGAGCTGTGGTCCAGTAGGAGAAGCATATCGCAAGACTGTAGGACCTGCTGTGTTGTATAGGAGGCTCTTATTATCTAGGCTTGTCAGTGCTTGCACTTTTCATTTGATTTGTTCATAGGGTTAATAGTACTGTGTATTCAGAGACAGATATGCGAAAACTATGCTGCACTTTTTATTATGCAAATTGCACTAATGTCAGAGAAGGTGATTCTAGGGGTCTGAACAGTCACTCAAAACTGTTAATTTTCATCCTCTTGTTAAACTGATTGGCAGAGTCTGGGAATGCCTTCATGAATCTGCAGCCTGCCCTTTGGCTGATGCAGAAGTGATACAGGCAATCTCTACAGGGAATTCTCTGCCTGGGGAACATATGCAAAAGTATGCTCCTTTGCTGGAATGGAGGAAAAATTCACTGTGAAGCTTGAGCTGCAGGAGGAAGAATGTTGTAGAAACTAGAAGTAATTTTTGTTACACATCAGTCATGAACGTCAGTCTTGTGGTATTTTATAGGATAATTGACCCTGTATCCCAACCACAGTTCAGTTTCAAGAGGTTTGAGTGATTGACAACAATAGTCTAGATTTAAAAAAACAAACAAAATCCAAACAACAACATAAAATAACACACGCTTTTTGTGTTTGTTTCTCCTTAGCAGAGACCTTAGAGTCAATCTCAACAATTTTGAAGCACTGGGATAGATCTGGTGAAGAACTTAAGACACTGGCTATGTCTCCAAAATAACATGCAGCACTCTGTACAGATACACGTATAACTTTGCATTTCCTTGAGGCAGTGCAGTGAAGAGGAGTGAACAAGGTCCTGAATTCAGTATAGCAGCTAGTGTATCAAAGCAGTGCATTGGGGTTAAGTGATCTTTCAAAAGGCTGCGTTCAGTTATATTCTGCTTGTGAAACTAGTTCACTTGTCTCTGAATGGTCCTACATTTTAGTGAAGACAACTCTCTCTTCAGTGTTTAATGTTCAGATCTTTATGGAATGCTTTGTGGGATCTTGTTGGAGTACCGAGTTTCCTGAGGAACATAACTGTTTAATTCTGTGCCTCTGGAATACATACACCAAATTCAAAAAATCTTGCGTGTAGCTATACTATGCACACTGTCGTATGAGAGCTAGTGTCATTTTTGCCTCCACTTGAAGCATGTTAATCTATCAATGACTTAGTTAGAAACAAGTTCATACATTCATTGTGTTAATGGAAGGTGTACTTTCTTATGAGGAGTCAGGCATATTCATTTCTTCATGCAGTTATGTTTTGCAATGCAGTTTACCTGCAAAAGACTGTAATTCAACTATAAAACTTAAATTTCAATAGCAAACTTCTATATAAAGTTTGTTTATTGACAGGTTTCCTTTCTTGTGTATTCAAATATTAATTTATATTATCAGATATATTGATTTGAGGCCTGAATTCTCAAAATTCATTTTTGTCCTAAAGAAAAACCTAACTCTTACATGAATAGTTGGCACATACTGAAAGGATACATGTAACTAGGAAAAATGAAAGATAAAATACATATAAATTCTGAAATCCCTAAATAGTATTGCTGATGTCTATAGTTTATATTCTGATAACATACAGACAAATGGTTGTCACAATAATTCAGTGAAACATAGAGTAAGTCTTGCTGTAGCATTGGATCTTCTGTCTTCATTTTTCACTGTCTAGTAAATACATATGTTAGCATATTAAACGTAATCTAATAAAAATTGCTGCAAATAATTATGGAGACACTAGATTATTTTACACTCTTACGCACTGCAGAGAGGATTCTCAGTTAAGTAGGCATGGATGAGTGGCAGAATGACAATGACTTTGTTAACCTGACTCTGTAGATTAAGATGATCATGCCTGAAATTTCAGTATTTGGTTGGCTTTAAGGGAATGCCTTTTCCCATTTCATCCACCAGCTTTCCTTACCCCATTTAAATGGTAATTACACATTTATAATGCATTGCAGGTGTCACTCTAGCCACAGTCCTTTGGGAGCATTGGAAGCAATAGAGAGCTTTAGCAACCAGGAATACACACTTCGAATTGTTTCTTTGTTGCATGATTTGATAGTATTTTTCATTTGCTCACATATATGAATGCAATATGATTACACAAATTATATGTTGACTGTTACAAAATTTTGAAGTAGAATTCAGAGTACTTTGCAGCTTGTGTAGTATACAAAGGAACTACAATTTAATTGCTGCTGCATTTGCTGCTATTGTATGTTCAGTATAGCATTAGTGAGAAGCTGCTTTATTTATTTATTTCAGGATTTTGCCTGGTATTAGTGGAAGGAATCTATTTCTTCACTTTTACAAAATTATTGCCTTTCATGATTTTGGGCTTCCACACCACTTGTTTCAGTTCTGCAAAGGTTTTGATCAGCCAATTTAATGTAATCCTATCTCCTTTATTTTATGTGAGACGTTGATTTTTTTATATTCAGTAGTTTGTCACAGTAAATGTTCCTTCTGTTCACGATAGGTGCTTTATCTTGACCTTCTTTAGTGTTCTGAATGCAAAGCAGGGAAATGTTGTATTGCTGTACACTTAAAGCTATTTAGTTTGTATGTTAAGAATAGAGTTAATTTGGGGGTTAAAAACAAAGAGGAAAAGTGCAATAAGGGGTGAAGATACACAGCATATCACAAACTAGTTCATTTTTTTGCAGTGTATACAGTCTCTTGCAAGTATTTCACTTGTTAATTCTATTTTTGGGCAGTGCTGATATGTGATGAGGGTCAGATCTCAATGAGAAGCTGCATAGTTAGCATAGTATAGAATATAAATGAATGTGCTGGAAAGAGGTGTTAATTTCTTACAATTGCTTTGTCATACGTATTAGGAGGCCTCATTACTTCATACAAGCTAATGGAAGATACTTGACTACTATACCTCTCAAATTTTTGAGTGTTTCTTAAATACTGCTAAGGAGGTCAATTATTAACCTCAAAATGAAGGTAAATAGAAGCAAGATGTTAAAGTTCTTGCAAGTGTCCTGTGTGTCAATATTCAAGTTCAGCAGTAACACGTAATGGACTTTATTGCAAACAAGACTCCTGAACCTACAAACATCTAGCTTCTCTGAACCTGTAAGTGTAAATAACAAGTTGGGTAGTTGCTCTCATGTCAAATGGGAAACAGTTGAGAGAGACAACTCATTTCTGGTTCAAGGCAGCACATGAGCTTTAGCTGAACCAGACATGCTATCCAATTAGCATAGGCTTGCAGCTCCTCTTTGAGTGTCACGGCTAAGAGCAGCTGTGGCAGCTGACAGGAGCTTTTTGTCATGCTCCGTTTTTTTGTATCTCTCTAGATTGCTTTTGTCCACTTATTGGAGCCTGATACAACTTCTTCAGTAAGAATTGGCGCAAGTGATGAGCTGCTGTCTCCCTCCTCTCACTTAATGTAATCTTATGACATACTTAGAATGCTGAGGAGAAAAGAAATTTAAACACTGGATGCAGATTTGAGAGCAAGGTCTATCGGATGTTGTAACCTCTGTGGTTACCCTCATTTGGAAGGAGGGCTTGCCATTTTTCTTGGAGTACCTTCTTTCCCAGGAGGTGAATTTCTGAAGTCATGACCAATAATACTCACACGAGATTGACCCATAGTTCTTAAGGCCTGTTTAGTTCCAGTATTGTACAATAAAATAGATCAGAGAATTTTAAGTTAAACATACTAATGTGTGATTTGTGGTAATTATATCTGTTCATTCCTAAACATAATTCAGTAAAATTAAAGCAAGTACTGCTGGGAATGGCATTTGCAATAAGAAGTAAAAATGACACATTCACTTGAAATATGAGGAGTAGTTATCTAAAGTGGCTTTTGGCCGAGTGTTTTGGGGCAGGGGCAGATAAAAGTATATTTGCTCCTCAGAATGGTATAGGGAAAGTTTATCAGGAGTCTTACACTGTCCTCTGATTAACTTGAAATTGGCACTACTGGGTGTAGAACATCGTTTCCATTGGATTTCAGCTGTTTAAGCTGTAAGAGAACAGTGTCTAGTGTTTTACTGTGCTACTTTCAGACTTACAAAGTGTCAAGTATGTATCTTAAACGAAATATGAGAAAGACATAATAAGCACTTGCCAGCCTATATAGAAAGAAGTATGCAATCTCAGTTAATTTTGTCAGGGAATCTGGTACCACCTCTTGCCACTTTGTAGAAAATTTTTTTGAAGTTTGGTGCCTTGATTTCTAAGTGGAACTTAATGAGTGCAGGGAGTTTATGCAATGCCAATTGTAATAAAAATGTTAATTTCTAGTACTGTTGCTAACTTTCTGTAAATGTTGTGTAGTTGTGTTTTGTATTTGGAAGGGGTGAAATACAGAAGTACTGTAAAACTTTTGAAAATTGGACTACTCGTTTGTCTTTCAGGTAACTAAATATATTAGGATCCATAGATCCTAGCTGACGAAGTATTAACATGTCTGGAGGAAGGAGGGGGTGGTGTGGTGGTCTGGAAATAAAGTAAATGTTTCTTCTCTGTATTTGGGTTAGGGTTATACTAATGCAGGTAACCTGAAGGCACTGAAGGTTGAATGGTAGGCCAAGGATAAGAGCTTTTTTATTGTGTGTTAACTTGTCAGCTAGAGTAGACTTAACAGACATTACAACTCTGTTTAAACGCATGAAAGGTAAGATTAAAATTTGAGAAGTAACTGCTTTCTAAAAGTTTAAAAACAAAAGTTTCAAGAGCTCAAAATATTGTAGATAATTCTTGACAATGCTGTCATCTAACCATACTTATTTTGCAAATGCTTAAATATTGTGTGTTAACTTGTCAGCTAGAGTAGACTTAACAGACATTACAACTCTGTTTAAACGCATGAAAGGTAAGATTAAAATTTGAGAAGTAACTGCTTTCTAAAAGTTTAAAAACAAAAGTTTCAAGAGCTCAAAATATTGTAGATAATTCTTGACAATGCTGTCATCTAACCATATTCTTATTGCACAAATGCTTAAAAGATTTTTTTTTTTTAAAGCAATTACAGAAAGGAGTAGTACCTTTGATGCAAGGTACTATACCAGGTAAATAGACTGTATTTCATGTTACCCAGCTGAAGCTTTGTAAATGTGACTGACTTACCCCTTCTTTGACAAGTAAGGGCCATTATGTATGAGGGCTGGTTTTGATTTTTAAGTCTTTACAAATTGACTGCTTGTAATCTTGTCAATTTGAGTAATTATAGGATTTTTCATACTTACTCCTTAATATTTGCTGTTCCCTATCAGGTAGGTAGTTGCAGTTACTGATACAATAATCAGCACTAAGCAGTTGTGCTTCTTGATTGACATCTTAAAATAACCTGGCAGTTCAAAAGAAGTGCAACAAGGTAGACAAAAGCATAGTCTGCCTTCAGTGCCATTAGCTTTTGACTTTCAGATAGAACAGTGGATGTTCAATATCTGTGGGCAGGTGCATGTGGAAAAGAGGTACGGTATGAAAAGGTCTGAGGGGAGTTCTTACAAGGTTTGGCAGTGACTAGTGTAATCTTTCTCTTCCGCTACTGTGAATCTGAACATTTGTGAATTGGGGTTGTTTGGCTTAACTGTGTTCTGTCTCCATGCCCTAAACAAATGAGCTAGAGAAGAGTCCAGGCTTGCCAGACATTGGTATAAAAATCTTGGTAGAAAAGATAGCGGTAGTCTTCCTGTTCTTTCACAACAAAAGGTCAGCCTCTGGACTCCTATGGGACTCCTTTATTTTCAGTATGCAGTTCTGCCTAGCCCAAATCTGGTGTGTGGTTTAAAGTCTCTTTGAAATAATTGCTGTATGGAACAGCGATTGCTCAGCTAACCCTTACAGAAGATGGTATGCATATCCAGACACTCAGCATAATTGGATGGCTTTGCAATGCTTTCTGTGACAGCATTCTTCTAAAGTCATTAAGAATCCTCATGATGGAAACATACTGCAACCTGGATTAAGTGATGCTCTTGTTCTGGTCCCTGGAGGTTTTAGTGCATGTAGGAGTGATCTTCATTTGTTCTTAGAGATTATTGTCCTGTTGCAGAAATGCTGTGAGTGGCTGAACGTGACAGATGGTTGTGTATAATCAAAGTAGAACTAAGTCAAAGTAGCAGCATCTTACATTTTAAAAGGATGATGATCTTATAATAACTTGAATTTATAAACTGGCCAGTCTGAATCTGTTCTTCCCGAGCCATCTCTATGCTTAGGTTTTTGTAGACTGACTCTCTCACAAATGCATTTTTTAGGGTATACCTCACAAATGAGAAATGTTTTTTTATAGAGAAATGTTCTCTCCCTGCTAAATCATGAAATACCTATTCATTATTATAGTCTGAGAAATAAGAGTGCTTAAGAACACTTTCAATTTATTATTATACTTGAGTGTTTGGGTAATAGAGCAACTATTACAAGACAAGAACTGCCTCTTGGTTTTGTTATATGGAGTACCTATTACAGTGGGGTCAGTAACTCAAGGTTTTTATGTAATACTGGTAAGAAAATAAATGCGGTCCTATTTTGTTTTACAGGTCTTCTCCAGGATTCTGATAATCCATACAGCAGATTTGAGAATGAATAAAGCTGAGCACCTTCCACTAGAGCTGTAACTCCAGAATACAGGAAGATAGTTTGTTTTCATTTGCCCTTTGGGCTCTCTTTTTTCCCCAAAGGTTTCTTTTCCTGGTTGTAAAACTAGGAGTGGATAAAGACTTCATGAAATACGTGTTTCTATGTTCTATCTATATAGAGCTAATTTTTTATAAATGCTTTTGGTTGTTGAAATGTTTGCTGACTTTTTTTATGGTGACATTTAAGTGTGAAATACTCTTTCCTCTGCTTAAAACTGTATTTTATTACTTGATGTAGATGGCTAATAGTCACAATCATGTGTTTGAATTCAGTCTTAACTGCCACTTAAACAGTTGTTCCCATGTTCCTAAATAAAGATTTTTCCCTACTATATCTTTTTTCTTAGAAAAATAAAAGGCAACATGGAAGCACAGCTTCACACAGCAGAAATAGCTGATGTTGGTATTGATGAGAAAATACACCAGGCCCATTCTTATGTACCACCATTATGTGAGAATTGGGTGGAGTTTTTTCCCCCTCTGGAAAAAGATCTTCAAGAGTGTAATGTCTAAGGGTTGAGAGAGGGAAGCATGTTTGTCTTTGAATAATTCAAACTCAGTTTTGGAAATGTTAATATGTACTTTTGATGTATTACTGATGTTAAAAAGAAATTACTTCAGTTAGCAAAATTGAAGAAAGTCGTTCTTGAAATAAACAGTTATGTGTGCCTAAATTTAAGAAGAAACATCAGCCTGTGAACACTTTGTTCTGTAAGCTTAATGTATAACTAACAAACCACCACCCCACCCCACCCCCCAAAAAAAAGATTCTGCAGTTTACCAGGGCTGACCCTGGTCTGCAGCTAAGCACCACCCAGCTGCTTGCTTCCTCCCTCCTTGCAGTGGGATGAGGGAGAGAATGGGAACAGCAAAAGCGAGAAAACTCTTGGGTTGAGATAAAGACAGTTTAATAAGTGAAGAAAAGGAAGGTAGGGGGAACAAGTCACACGAAGGCAATCGCCACCAGTTTTTGTTGCTGAGCATGGTGATGTGTGGCCTGGAATATCCCTTTGGTCAATTCCGGCCAGCTGTCCCAACTGTGTCCCCTCCCAGCTTCTTGCTCACCCCTGGCCTACTTGCTAGAGTGGGGGGAAAATGACACCTTGATGCTGTGCAAGCAATGCTCAGCAAAAGCCAAAGCACTGGTGTGTTGTCAGCACTGTTGTAGCCGCAAATCCAAAGCAAAGCACCATAGGGGCTGCTATGAAGGAAGTTACCTCCATCCCAGTGAGACCCAGTGCGGTAAGAAAGCAGTATTTTTTTTTATCCTTTTATTGTTCTTTTGATAATTTCCATAATGTGATTTATTTCATCTTTCTTTTCATGGAGGTGTTTCATTGAGCTTTTTTTACTAAGCTTACCAGTATGACGCAACAAGCAAAGAGCTCCTCTTCTGCCCCCCCCCAGTCTAATGCAAGTTCCCATTTATTCTGTACACTTTAACCTCCTTTGCTGTATATTATCCATTAAACAAATGTACAGTATTGAAGATGTTCATGTTATTTTTATCAAGGTTCCTAAAATAAACACTTTAAGATCTTTGATTCTGTTTGGCTCTGTCGTTTCATACAATTTTAAATTAATTTGGTTTAAAATAAGTGATTAAGTATGAGTTTGGGAGAAGGGAAAGGATGCATTTTTGCTTTTGCTGTTTTTCTGACAGAAGAATAAAATCTTGACAGCACATAGATGTGGTGGGAATTAAATGTTGCCTGTGGGTGATGAGGTGAATTGCCATTCCTTCCAGTGCCAAAGAACCTGCCTCTACTTAGGCTTTTGTAACTACTATCACTTACCACTGATTTTGGTACAGTGTTCACTTCCATTCTTTCATTGTTTTTATCTCTGAAAACAGTTTCTCTATATACAGTTTCTCAGGAATGTATATAAAAATATGTTTCCCAGTTCCTGAATCTGTGTTGTAATTAGTGTTAATGGAATAATGGTCCAGTTCTCCTTTTTTCCTTTTTTCTTAACTCATATTTAGTACTTTATTAGTAGGCACTGTGTTTAATTTCATACGTTTCTTCATCTGTCAGCTATTGTCAAGTCTGAAGTATTATTCAAATGGCTGTCTTTGAAGAATGATGGTCTGTGATAAGAGTGAGTTGATAGTGTGGAAATAAAACATGCTGATGGTTTTCCCAGGAGATAACTTTTGCAAAAATGATGAAGGTCTGCCTGCTGTCTCACGACCCAAGTAGTGACATTCCTGACTTAATAGAAAAGCATTTTTCTTCAGCACCTGCTACAGTATATGAAGGGCTGTCACATATTCTAACAAAAGGGGGAGGAGGGACAACCTTTCTTACAATATCAAAGTAATAAAGTATTTCAGGAACCAAAATATTTTGAGAATACGGAATGGGTGCTGCATTGCTGAACAGTTGTGTTACATTTGAAGAGACGGTTAAGTGAAATCCGTGCAATCTTATACACCGTGTTAGCTTGTCGTTCCTAAGCCACAGTTGGGGGCATCAAAAGGTAACAACTGTGGTCACATTTATCTTAACCAGACTTACCATATGCTAAGCCTTAACTTTACAGTGTAGGCTGTAACGTCAAGCTGGACATCTAATACTGTATAATTTTGCTTACAGAGTTAAAGACAAGACTGTTAATTTAATGGCACTATTGTGGACAGCAGCCTTACAGCTTAATAGAAAATGCAAAAATCCCCAAATAATCCCCAGGCTTTTCAGATTATTTAACCTTTCTTTGCTGTGCTCCTTGGAGCAATTAATTGGATGGTAAATATCCTTGTTTCAGTATATTAATTGCAGCCTTCTCTGCTTTCCTGTATGTCAGTATTTCTTACTTTCACAGAAATACTGGATTATTGCAGCCTTCTCTGCTTTCCTGTATGTCCAAAAATCCAGAAATACTGGATATGGCTTATCAATAGAAAGGTTGCTAGTCTTTGTATTTCAGTGTAGCCACAAGTAATTGGGAAAACAGCTGTAGAAAGAGGTAACATTGTATCTTGGGTTCTCAGGTATGTGAACAAAGGCATTTATCACTTTCAGTATGCGCTTCCCCTCCTCCACACTTTTTCAATAAAAGAGAGAGAAGGGATGCGACATATAAACAAAATGAAAGTAGGGATACAGCATAACCGAAGCCTGAGAGCCGTAATATCTCTGCTAATCATCTGTTTTTCTCAGACTTGGCCTTTCATTCACACTCTATTCTCTCTTTCCTCTGTCTTTACACTTTTCGTTTGGTGGGTTTTGCTTGTTAATTTTACTAGTGAAGGTATTACTATCTGGAAAAAAAAGCAATCTTGGAAATGAAAAAGTTAAAATGTGTGTTTATCTTTCCACAGAACAGAGCTTCCAGTACTGAAAACTCAAGTGGGTCAGCTTTAAGAGTAATGTTGCTGGGTGTAATTTATTTATGTAAAGAGAATTTTAGTAGATTGAAGCATGCTGGTTTAATTTATCTTAATGCAGGAACATACTTTTTGCCACTTCTGAAATCTTGGATTTGATGATGAGTCCATTAAGTTGTCTGCACCGTGTCCTGCCTAATTGTTATTTGATTATTAAGTAGGCATATGGAAATAATTTTGAAAAACAGTCAATTTTCTGTCTGTTTTTTTTCCCTTACAGTATCTTTGTTTCAGACTCCCATACATAGTTTTCATCATCTATCCTTTCAAAAAATCAGTGTGCCAAACTGCAGTTTCCTATTACACCGAGTACGTGCCTGAGGAGTGGCTCTGCACTGCATGCCAGTGTCTTGCAACCCTAGGATGCCCCCAACTGAACTGCTGAACGTGCAGTTCTCTAGATTTTTAGTTGGTCCAGAAAGAAGAGGGAGAGAATCAGCTAGCATGCTCTTCTTCCCCTCCTTCTTCTGAGTGTCAGGGGCCAAACAGGAACAGAGTGAAGAGGAAAAAAGACACTTTGAGAGGAAATGATGGGGAGATGACCAGGGCGGGAGTGGGGAAGTCAATAGTCTGGGGAGATGGTGAAGTTGGCGGCAATTCACGTGGCTATGCCCCCAATTCCTGCCTGTCTCCGGGCTTGACCACCTTTGGGTTTGGGGCGCTAAGCCCACATCTCTGATTGCCCTGTGCTTCAAAGTGTGAATCGGGGAGGTTATGTGGGTGGAGGCTTTTCAAGGCTCACATGTGCTCTCATCTTTCCTAAGATAGCAGGGCCAAGCTTGCTCTCAATTGACTGATTTAGCCATTCTGTTGGTCTGGTCCTAGAACAGCCACTTGGAGGACAGTGAGGAGGGAATGCTTGTCAAAGTAGGTAGAGAGTGGCATTTCGTGACTGAAGTTTCATTATCTCCAGAATATTCCTAAAGCTGTGCTTCTGCTTGGTGACACTTGACAGAATCCTCTGAGACCATTCCCCAAATGCTGCTTCACCCAAAACTTAAAAGAAAGGATCACAATTCTGATACCTTCAAACAAAATCCAAAACCTATAGATCCTTCATTTATTTTAATGCCTTCACATGGTTTATACTCAATCTCTGGCTGAGCAAACACATTTAGTCTTCATTGTGGCATCATTAAGGCTTTGTACTTGGCATGAGAGGATCAAATGTTTAAACGTTCAGAAGTGTGTGTTGGCTCTCAAGCCCAGAGCTCTATTTTGTCAACTCCATGTCATCTTCATGTCTAGGTCTTGTCATGTATCTCTGGTTGTGTGTGAGTTCAAGTGCATTTGTCCTCAACAACACACTTTAGTTATCAAAAAAAAAATCTCTGCTTTCTTTTCTGATGCTCAGTTCCTACAACAGGTATTAAATGTCAGAGGTGAGAACAAAATTCTTCACTCCACTCTGACTCTTCGTTGCTGCTTTAAGCCATGGTGAAGTGGTGAAATCTGGGCAATGTGCAAGCAGTGAATGAACCAAACCACCCATGAACAGGAAAGGTTGTGAAGGGAGGCAAAAGGGAATAGATAGTGGGGAAACAATAGAGCAGTGATCAAAAAAAGGTGTTTCCTTTTGCACATCTTTGATGAGATTTGCTTTTGTATTTTGTTATGTCTTGTCATCTTAGATAAAAATCAAAATACAAAAAGGTGTTTCCTTTTGCACATCTTTGAGATTTGCTTTTGTATTTTGTTATGTCCTGTCATCTTAAATAAAAATCAAAATATGCAGCTACATTATATTGCCATATCCCAACGTATCCCATGTTGATTCACTTGCTGTATCAATAACCAGGCTTACTGTTTATAGGAAGACTGGCTGAAAATCACAAACTTTCCTGACCTATCTTACACAGTTTACAAAGAAACTATTTAGTGGTGTCTTATGTGAGCTTTCACAAAGCAGGAAGGGCAGAAGGTAAGTCTAGACCTAGAGAAAACTGTCAGTGGATTTCAGCAGCTTAACAAGTTTATCAGTCTTCTGACTGAATGTCTCAACCATCAGTATGTATTATTAATCAAATGGAGTGACTTTTCTCTTGCTGATATAGCAATTGCTTCTAAATAAGAAAAAGTAATAGAGGGCAGAGTTTTTGAGCTCTCACTTTGAGTCAAGTGCTTGTGTGGCAGATAAATGGGTAATAGAGTAAGCAAAGTCACTTTGAGAACCATGTAAGCTTGAATCTGTTTGTGTATTAACATGATGAAGTAAGATGCAGGATAAAGATAAAGTTATTTGCTTTGCTGTCGGTACAGAGGCGTTGTTTTTTTTTTTTTTTTTTTTTTTAACTTTGACCTTCAGTCCAATCTGTGCAAGGAGCTGTCAAGTAGCAGCACAGCAAAAAGGATTAGGAAATGTTTAATTACCCCAAGTTGAGGTGGATTTTCATAGCACCATTTCTGTCACAGTTCCTGAGCTCACTACATCTCTGACCTGCATCTCAAGGGCAACCTTTTTTATACCCCTACT